AGCTAATGAATTAACAACAGCAATGATTACACATTGCGGATATAATTCTTTGCTTGAAGGAGTTTATTTTCAAATTCCAATGGTTTGTATCCCAAATAATTCGGATCAACCATATAATGCATATGCAGCAGAATCACGTGGATATGTCGAGGAAGTTGATTTTAGAGATGAAAATTTGGAAGAGAATTTAAAAAAAGCTTTAAGAAAAGTTTTGAATGGTAGAAAATGGAAAAAGTATATTTAGAAATAAATTTGTATTTAAAATTCAATTTTTAGTGAATTTAACGACAATACAAACGAATTGAACGGGATTATGAATGAATCGAAAGGAAAATTTATTCAGGCTATGGAAGAAATGATTGGAAATTAGTAAAAGTTTGAAGGAAAGTAAAAGATTTTTTTTAAATTGGGTTATTTTATTTAAAAATTTTTTGGTTTTTTTTATTTTTAAGGGAATTTAAGTAACATTTTTTATTGGGATATCGGATTTTTTTAAACATTCAAAATTTGTCCTAATTGTTGGACACTTTTAAAATTTATGTATTTTGCATAACAAACTACAAATTCTTTATTAGGGTTGTTCACTAAGTTTATTAATTACATACAAGTTTTTTGTGTCTCCGGGTTCGGTCCAATTTCAACTTCCGTTCGGTTAACTAAAGTGAACAACCTAATACAGTAAATGCTGAAATTATGAACTTGTCAATTAGGGCGAGAGAATTCTGCGTTTATCAAAAGGAAAATTATTTAGGATATGGAAAAAATGATTGAAAATCCGTAAAAATTTAAAAGAGTACATACTATGTATGTATATATTAGTGATGTTCGGGTATCCCTCCTCCCGACTCGGGAAATTTTCCTTAGTTTTGGCCTCCCGATCCCAATCCCTATCGTTTCACGACCCGACTCTCGTTTCACGATTCCCGGGTTTTTTCTTCTCCCGAACATCACTAGTATATATTTTTTAAAGTAGGGTTATTTTATTTAAAATTTTATTGGTTTATTTATTTTTTTTAAAGGAAATTTAAATTTATGTAACAATTTTTTATTTATTGGGATATTTGATTTTTTTAAATTTTATTTTAAATAGCAAATTTATTTTCTATGAAAAAACTAAAGATTTGAAATGATGTTGTTCAGGGAAGTCTATTGGTTAAGAATTTAATTTTCGGTTCACCTTGGTTGGGCTAACCAGTCCTGAACAACATTAATATTTATTTATTTTTGCGACAATTTATACAATGTATTTTTTGTTTTATGAGTAAAGATTTTTGGGTTTTAATTGTAGAATTTAAAAATATTTAAGGGAGAAATTTAGAATAGAATTTTAGAGTTAATTCAGTTAAGTTGGGTAATAAAGTGAAGCTAATGCCTGTGAACATTCCCTAACCCATTGGTCAGCCAGTTAACTTAAAAAATTTTCCGGCAATAGAGAGTGTAGGTAAATGGGTGTACGTAAACTCTATCCAGGCCAAGGTTGGGTACTTCGAAAATTCTTGATAATATTTGTTCCTTATTTAATTCACTATGATTTAATCTTCATTCAAGAGGATTTACATAGGTATATAAAAAATAAATTAATTGTTTTTTTAATTTTTAATGGCTTTTGTTTGAACGTTAAAAATTTAAAAGAAATAAAAATATTTTTTATTATTCATTATTTAGACATTTCTTTTTCTAATTTCTCTTTATTTACTTTAAAAATCCAGAGCATTTGTTGTTGATTAAATAAAAATATAAATAGATAAGCAGGTAATTAAATTTATTTTTAAACATATAAATTGATAAGAATTATAAATGTTTTTGTTCATTTTTAAGTCATTTAATATTAAGAGTAGGTAAATTAATTTAGTCAGCAGTCTGACTGAAATTAAGGTATAATTATTATTTTAGTTAGCCAATTTTAATTAAAAATAATATTTTCAAAAAAAGTAAAATGTTAATTAAAATAATTATTTTTCTTTGTTTAATTGCTTGTTATGTTAACGGAATGAGACAACAAGCTGTAGCTGTTAAAGGAATTTTATTATGTGGGAATCGTCCCGCTGGGGGTGTTAAAGTAAAACTTTGGGACGAAGCAAGTATTTATGTAAATTAATTAAATAAAAGTTTTTTTCTTAAAAAAGGATGATGGACCTGATCCAGATGATGTTTTGGATGAGGTTTTTAAATGAAGTTTAAAATTTAGTTTTGTTTAAAACTAGGCTTTTACTGACGGTTCTGGCTCTTTTTCATTACGTGGATCTACTCGTAATTAATTTTATTTTTAAAAATTTATTTAAAATTATTAAGGTGAGTTGACCACAATTGATCCAGTTCTAAAAATTTATCATGATTGTGATGATGGAATAATGCCTGGACAAAGAAAGGTGAAATAAATTAGATATAAAAATTCAGTTGGTTAGTTATAATGGAATCCTTGTTAAAAGCTTAATTCTTCTAAAAATCAATTAGCCGAATTACCAGACGTTCAGTTCACTTTACAAGATGAGAATATCCATTTTGCGGGCCCGGTTCTACTAAAAATTTGGAAAAGTTACAGGCCTTGTAACTGAAAAGATTTTTTATAATGAACATACAACTAACTAGCTTTATTAGAATATTCACAAATATATGCAAATATTAAGGTTAAATTGCGTATTCCTTCACAGTACATTTCTTCTGGAGGTTTAGCAAGACGCACGTTTGATGTGTATGTTTTAAAATATTTTTTTAAATTATTTTCAAAAATTTTTAGCGGAGTCTTGAATCTCGAGACTATTTTTGCGAAAGAAGAACGAGACCTTCTTTGATTTTAAAAAGATGAGAACAAATACATAATAACAAATTATTATAAATAAATACTTAATAGAAAATTATATTCATTTGATATAAAATAAAATTACTTTTCACATTTACTAAGCAATTTAATAAAATTATTTTTTAAAACTTTTCTGATTGTGCTAAATATCTTGGAAATTTACTAGAAGAAAAATTATTAAAAAAATCTTTTATGCATATGTATTAAAACAAATTTATTTCTAAATGCTTAATTAAAAACCAAAATTATATTATTGGTTAATATTGGATATTATTGCAATTCCTTTCCTATATCCAATTATGAATTCTTAATAAATATATTTAATTAATATTTTAATAATTTTTCTTTAATTTTAAAAATTAAATAATAAAATGTCAAGCTAAAATGCTTATGCTGTCTATTGATTTTATTATAAGCAATGGCCAAACAGCAAACAATCCATTTTTGTCCTCACTTTAAAATTTATTTTATTTTATTTTTGCTTTATTCCCCTGCAAATTTTTATTAAAATTTTCAAAAAAATTAAATGGATTAGCATTTTAAATTAAAAAAAATTATTTTAATTTTTTATTTGTTTTTGTAAAATAAATGAATCGTGGATTGCTTGATTCATCTATCACTTCTCTCTTTTATCACATGTGAAAGTCTTTTTAATTTTGAATGTATTTTACAATATTTATTATTTTGAATATTTCTTTTTCTCTCCAATTTCTCCACATTTTTTTCTCGAATCCAAAACGTGTAAATTTTTATTAAAATGCCAACACGACACAAATAATAAAAAAATGAATAGAATATTTTTTCTAAATAATTTTAATATATTCGCTTGCTATCGCTTAATAAAATCAGTTAGTTTTTCCCTTTCATTCCCCATTTTCATTCAAAAACCCGAAAAAAAAAATTATTAAATATTTAAAAATGACAGAAAGTACTAAATTCGAAGAAGATTGTATGCAATCTTCACCTAATGCTGGTTTTACTTCAGACGATGAATTAGCCGTGTTTAGAGCAAGGAAAGTAGCTATAATTACTGGTATTTCTGGACAGGTAATAATTTTTTAATTGAAATATATGTTACTCTAACGTTAATGGATTATAATTGGTTTTTATTGGAAGTACTTAATGCCCCGGGATTTACAAGCAAAACTAGACCCGATTCTCCCCACTCGGGGCGTGCCATTTGTATAAGTGCTATACAGAGACTACATTAAAGCAGCCTCCCGTTAAGTGCAAGTCGGGTGTTTTTTTTTTGAGTCGGGCAAATGCTTGACCATGTTTATAATTGAAAATAATGGCAGTAGGTAGAATTGCAATTTTTTCATGATGGCATTAGATAAAATTACACTTAATCAAATAATATACGGATATTCTTCATAACTAAATATCTAATAGTGTTTCACCGGAACCGAAATTTTGACCGGAACCGGAACCGGAACCGGATCCAATTTGAGTTCCGGTTTCCGGAACCGGAACCGGAACTTTTCAAAGTTCCGGCCCGGAACCGGAACCGGAACTTTTGAAAAAAATTTTTGCTAGCAAATTTTAAAAAAATTTGTAGTTTAAGTAGGGTTGTCTGTTCACCAACTTCTTCGGTTAACCGAAACCGAACCAAACCAAGACTTTTAATTAACCAAAACCGAACCGAAAATTTGTCGGCGATAAGTGATATGTATATTTGGGTTAGAGAGTGGTGTATGAACGGATTTGGTGGTATAAGTGGTGGTAATCCATAAGTGGTGGTAATTGGTGGTAATCCACATTGATCCATCCAAATCATCCGTTATACCATTCAACTTTCTTTTTCAGCGCCGCAGGCGAAAATTTTGAGAATATTTAAAGATAAGAAGCTAAATTTTTTCCCTTTTCAGCGCCGCAGGCGAGAATTTTGAAAATTTCTGAAGGCTGTAAGCAAAAAAATTCGTCATTTATTAGTCATACGAAAAATTTTAGAGGGCCAAAAAACCGTAATTACTCCATGTAAAAATAAAATAATTTTTAAAACAAAGTTAAATTCATAAAATGAGTTATTTTTTAAAAGGAAAATTTGAATATTTATTGTCCTACGATAGGGAAGCGAACCCAACCTAAAATCATTAACAACTTGAGTGAAGCCCAAACCCTTAACCACTCGGACACCCGCTCATCACAAGGCAACTGAAAGAAAATAAACATATTTCTTTTGATTTTTTTTATTACAACTATGAGAGTACGAGTATTTTATTAATATTTTTTAAAAAAAAACTAATCCTTAGGGGTGTAAAAAAGTTCCGGTTTGGCCGGAACCAATTTGAAAACCGGAACCGGAACCGGATCCAATTTGAGTTCCGGTTCCCGGAACCGGAACCAAAAAACACCGGAACTTTCCGGAACCGGAACCGGAACTTCCGGTGAAACTCTAATATCTAAGCATCCCTCTATTTTTAATTAGTTCCTGATAGATATCTCACTGTTTTGTGTTGATTTAATTATAAAATTAACTAGGTATTTCCCCTACAATACAGATAAAAATAATTTTTACACGATTTTTCAAAGGATGGTTCTTATTTGGCTGAATTTTTGCTTTCAAAAGGATATAAAGTTCACGGAATTATTCGGTCAGTTATTTTTATTTTAAATTTAAAATTTTTGTATTTATCTAGTCGTTCTTCTTCATTTAATACTGCTCGTATTCAACATCTTTATTCTGATCCTAAAACTCATGAGGGAAGTGCCAGTTTCTCTTTACATTATGGAGATATGACAGATTCATCTTGTAAAATCATAAATATTTTTAAAAATATTATACTTTATTTTAATTCAATTTTTGGACAATAAATAAAAATTATTTCAACTAAAAAATAATTTTTAAAACATTTTTAAAGGTCTCATAAAATTAATCAACACTATTCAACCAACAGAAATATATCACTTGGTAAAAATAAAAAGCAAATTTTTTTTCTTAATTTTTAAAAATTATTTTAGGCCGCCCAAAGTCACGTCAAAGTATTTAAAATAAAAAAAATAATTCCAAAATAATTAAATTTAAAAAAGGTTTCTTTTGATTTGCCTGAATACACAGCAGAAGTAGATGCTGTCGGAACACTTCGTTTATTAGATGCAATCCACGCTTGTGGATTGTCTAATAAAGTACGTTTCTATCAGGCTTCGACATCTGAATTGTATGGAAAAGTACAAGAAGTGCCACAAAAAGTTTAAAAAAATTGAAAAAATATAATCAAAAATATTTAATTAATTTAAAGGAAACAACGCCTTTCTATCCTCGATCACCTTATGGTTTTGGATAAAAATAATTTATTAATAAAATTATTTTTATTTATAGCTGTTGCTAAATTATATTCGTATTGGATTGTAGTTAATTATCGAGAGGCATATAAAATGTTTGCATGTAACGGAATTCTTTTTAACCATGAAAGGTTATCTGTTAATATTTTTAAATTAATAATTTTTTCAAATTTAAAAAATAAATTCTTCAGTCCACGACGAGGTAAAAATACAAATAAAATTATTTTTAAATATTAAAAATAAATTAAGGAGAAACTTTTGTAACAAGAAAAATAACTAGAGGAGTTGCAAAAATTGCACTTAACCAGCAACAATTTATTGAATTAGGTAATATAAATGCTCGTCGTGATTGGGGACATGCTCGGGAATATGTTGAGGCAATGTGGATGATATTACAACATAACGAACCTGATGATTTTGTTATTGCTACAGGAAAATTTTATACGTAATTAATTTGGATTAAATTGAGTAAATAGGTATTTAACTGTGTTATATGAGTCCAAAATTGTCCCTTATTTTGGGGAGAAATGGTGTTAAAAACTAATTTAAGCAGAACTGGTGGTAGGGGATTTTTTTGAGTCGTGGATGGTTCCCACAACTTTTTAAGACGCATTTAGAAAATCTATAGCCGTGGAGCCAAAAAGACCCTCTAAGCTGGGCCATAGGTGACTTCTCAAATGGAAATAACTCGGAGGGTTGAACTGAGGTGAAAAAATGATTGGATTGAGGGCCCTAATTAGACTGACATAGTATACTTAAATCTGTATTTATTCTAATTTTTGAATACAACAAAAATTATGTCAATTGGAGAGGGGCATTTAGCTATAATATATACGGTATAAATTTAATAATTTTTGAGACATTATAGGAAATTTAATTGTTCATTGATCTATTATTTTTAATTTAAATAATTATAGAGTTCGAGAATTTGTTGAATTGGCGTTTAAAGAAATTGGAAAGGAAATAATGTTTGTATTTTTGAATGAATTAATTAAATTTTAATTAAAAATAAAAGGTGGGAAGGTGAAGGAATAAATGAAATTGGAATAGAGAAAGGAACAAATATATTGCGCGTTAAAGTAAATCCAAAATTCTATCGACCAACAGAAGTTGAACAATTAATTGGTGATCCAACTAAAGCAAAGGAGAAACTTGGTTGGAGTGCTAAAATTAGTCTTAAAGTAAAAATTTTTTCTGAAATTTTTTAAAATTTATTTTTAAGGAACTTGTACATGAAATGGTACAAAGTGATAGTGAATTGATGAAGAAAAATCCTTTGGCATAAATATAAGTATTAAAATATTTTTTGAAGAAAGTGCAAAAAATGATGGAATATATGTGAAGTAAATTAACTAACTTATTTAAAAAATAAATATAAGCATAATAATTATTCCATAAATAATTTATTAAATAAAATGTTAACCAAAGCTAATAAACTATAATACTAAGTAAATTGTTTTATCATAATATATAATTTGAATTTGTTATAATAAAATATACATATTTCTATTTTTAAGTATTTTAACGTCTAGTTCCATCTTCAAAAAATACCCCTCCATCCAAAGCACAGTATTTTGGACAGATTCCTCTTTCACCAGGCGCACCTGGATGTCCAGGTTGCCCTTCTTCCCCAGGCTTGCCAGGTGGCCCTGCAGGACCAACCGGTCCAGGTGGTCCTTGTGGACCTGGAAGTCCTTCAGAACCTGGACGTCCTGGCTCTCCAGCATCTCCAGGCAATCCTTGAGAACCCTAAAATTGAGATCAACTTGTAATAAGTAGATATAATGACCGGTTCTCCAGGAGGCCCCGGATCTCCAGGCATAGTTGGTGTGGAGATTGCTGGTCGGCCGGCTTCACCTCTTGCCCCGTCTCTTCCTTGACTGCCAGGTGATCCTTGAGGGCCAGGAGGACCTTGTGGACCTGAAAATTTTTTATTAAATTGATTAATTTCAGATGCATAAAACCTGGAGTTCCATCATTTCCAGTACGTCCAGGATGCCCTAATGGGCCGGGATTGCCTTGATCACCCAGTGGTCCTAGAAACAATATAATGTTAGGGTAAAAATAGATTTTCTGTTGAGCTTAATTTTAAACGGAAAAACATAAAATAAAAATAATTAAGGATAAAGTATATTTTACCTGGAGGGCCCGGCTCTCCAGGAGGACAGGCAATGCACGGAGGTTGTGTCACTTCCTCACAAATAGCTGGAAGTCGACCAGGAAACCCAGGGGCACCAGGAGCTCCTGGTCTACCTGGAATACCATTCCGGCCAGGAGGACCAGCAGGACCTGGCAATCCAGGAATACAACACCCTAAAATGATTTAAAATATTATTTTTTTCAATTTTTATTGCCTTCGCATTGTGATTTTGATTGTCGACGGAATCGATGAATATCTGTTTTATTCTGACGAAAAGCTAAAGGCGCCTCATTAATTTCGCCTCCGTAAAGAAAACCAGCTTCTTCCCCTATATCACTCATCTCTAAAATAACTTCCTGAGCAGATAACTTTAAAAAGAAATCAAGATATTTTTATGGATTTAATTTTAAAAAATATATTTTTTTACTTTACAAAAATCCATTTCATGTTGTACACGCAAATGTAAATTATTTATATAATTATTGGCTAATGGTAAAGTTATAAATATAGCTACAATAGTGGCAAGTGAAAAAGAAATTGCTGTATAAACCTTAATATAAGTAATTGGTAAAATTCAAAATTATTTTTTAAAGTACCACAAATCGATATGCAGATTCGCGGGATTCAGATTCTACCAACATAATTAAGAATAATCTGTAAATTATATGTATTTTATTGACTACAACATAATTTGGAAAACAAAATGAGACAAAAAATATACAGAAATATTTCAGATATTTTAAAGAGAGATAACTGCGGTAATCAAAGAGGATCTCGTTCTTGATAACAAATATTTTTGATCAAGATATTGTCTCGATCAGACCCTAATTTTTATATGAGAAATGGCTAGAATAATTGTTAGAAAGAATTAATTTAAATTGAGGATTTTGCCATTTTAAAATTTGGTTTTTATTGCCTCTTTTTTGATCGAATAAATTAAAATGAAAATTTTTTAACTAAGGTTTAGCTCACGAACTCAACAAAAAACATGGGTTTTTAATGTAAAAATTTTCAAGTTTTACATATAAATTATAGTTCTTCCGAAAGAGCTCGTCGAGCTGAGTTTACATATTGCAGAGTGAATTACGGGTATATCCGATTCGATTCCCCAAAATCGGGAATTTTTAGTCGGCTAGACCTCTGTGTATATTATTTCATTTTTTAGAAGGATTAAGATTTGGTATTAAAAAATTTAGAAGAAAAATGAAAATAACAAAAATTAAAAATATTTCACTCAAAAATACAAGCAAATCTACTATAATTTTAAAGAAATTAGGGCATCCTTTGGAAAAAACAAGGAAACTTATTATTTAGTTATTGAATGTATAAAGAATTATGTCGGAAAGCGGCTAAAATAATAAGAAAAAGCAATTATAATACTATTTGATTTTATGAGGAGTTGTGGTTTTGGCTATACAAAAATGGGAAATGGTGATTATCTTACAAAGAAAAGAAGATTTGAGCTTCTTCCTATGTTGTTGTTAGTTTTTTGTTAGTTGCGCAGTGCATAGAGGCAGAACATTCCCTCGGGCAATTGCTCGATATAAGCCGGCTATTATAACGATTATTGAAAATTAAAAGATTTTTTGAGAGAATTTTGTGAGAAATTTTTAGAGAAAAAAAGGAAAGAAAATCTAAAATCAAGGGGATGATTGTGCCAATTAAATAGAATTGAAGAAATATGGAAAGAAAATAGAAATTCCTTTCGTTATGTTACAATCGAAGCTCTCTAATAGATTGCCCCATTATTGAAAATTAAAATGTGGATTTCTGACGTATGAGGAGAAAAAAGTATGAAAATTAAGTCATTATTAGAGAGATTGAATTTTTTGTTAATTTATTTCTTAAAATACATGCTCGAATAATTACCCTCTCTCAAATAATTATCCACTCCTCTTTCAACTTCTCCAACCAGAAATTGAAACAATAATTACACAGGGTAATTATCTGAGGATATACAGTAAAATAGAAATCCAAAATAATTTAAGACTAAATTTTCTTTAAAACATTGATTCATTGACGAAAAGTCCGTTGACGAAAGGTCCTTTGACGAAAAGTCGGGGAGCCGGATTTTTTGCAGAATAAATTTTTTGCAAGTTTGTATTAAATTTTAGTTAGTTTTACATCAAAAATTTTTTCATTTTAATTTTTTTAGATTAAATTTTAAATACCTAAATTTTATTTAGAATTTATGTTTAATTTTACAAATAAAAATATTTATTTAATTCGTTCATGTTCTTCATTACAATCAGTTTCAACTGCCTATATGAATTATGTAAATGAAGGAATTTTAAAATATGATGAAAAACAAGTCTATAATTATTATTTTTTCTAAAAAAAATTTTTATTTTTAGATTAAAATAGTTAATTATTTTGATTCTCTTTTAAATGATTTAAACAAATATTCTAATTCAATTGAATCTCAAAATCGTTCATTTCAAGGACGTATTTTCAATAAATTTTTTACAAGCAAGCAAACAAATAATACTCCAAAAGGAATTTATTTATATGGAGCTGTTGGTATATTTAATTTTGAAAAATTATTTTAAAAATTTTCGGACAGATTTTTTGTAGGGTTTTTATAACAATATTATTACTAAAATATTGATAGGAATTTTTAAAAAATTAAATAGGATTTTGAGGGTTTTTTTTCGATAATATTGAACCGGACAGACCTCCCTTTTTCCTTCCCAATTCTTCCTTACATTTTTGCAAAATGGTCAGACTTTTTCCTTTCTTCCATTCAAATTCCCTTTCTAATTTTTGCCTACAATTAAACAAAAATGATTATTTAATTTTATGTACCAAAAACAAGTAAAAGGAGGTTCAATATTACCGTTTTTTCTTTCGACTTTTGTTTTATACTTTTTGTTGCTGTTTTCGATTCCCGAGCTTCAAAAATTTCCTCTTCAGAACATCTTTTTAGTATCCAATATTTTTCTTTAAAATTTCTCTTGACTTTTTTTTTATATTTTAGTAATTTTAGATCTGTCCGTAAATCTTTTGCGCACAAAAATTAATATAATAATTTAATAAAGATATTCAAAAACGGAAAATTAAATATAATTTTTTTAATTTAAAAGGAGGCGGAAAAACAATGTTAATTGATATGTTTTTACAAAATATTTCAATTGAAAGGAAAGAACGTATTCATTTTCATCAATTTATGCAACAATTTCATAAAAGTATTTTTTAAATTTAATTAAAAAAATTTTTAATTTAAAAGATTTGCATTTATTAAAAATTAATTCGAAAGACGGGGAAGACCCAATCCCCCAAATTACTAAAGAAATAATTGATAAATCGATACTTTTTTGTTTTGACGAATTCCAAGTTGTTGATATTGCTGATGCTATGATATTGAAACGTTTATTTACTGAATTATTCGATTTGGGATTGATACTTGTTGCGTAGGTTTTTTTTTATTTTTTTCTTAAACTTGAAATTGAAATTTATTTTTTACGCATTTTTAATTTAAGAAAGTTGAATTTATAGCCTTATTTGGAGGAATTTTTTAAACATTCTTACTTTTACTGGTTTCTAGATAAAAATATGTGGAAGAAGTGCTTTTTCGACGTAATTCGACTTGTTATTTGTTGTAATTCGATTTGGTCTAATTCGGATCCGGGGTTCGAAATAAACAAATTTTATGCTCATTCGGATCCAGAACACTCAATTACCTAATGGCAGACCTAAAAAATGACGAGAAAGCACTTCACATTTTTTCTATGGACCAGTAAAAGTGAGGATTACCGAATTTTTGAACATCCTTTTTTGAAATTCTTTTATTTAACCAAAAATTTAAAAAATGTTTAGAATATTTTCCCAAAAAATATTTTAATGTCCTTTTTAATTCAAGTTCCTAATTTTTTGGTTTATCTAGAGAGAAATTTATTGAATATTTTAGAGTTTTTAATTTCTAAAAACTTATTTAAATAAATCTTCCAACCCGTTTTCTCACCACAATTTAATTTTTTAATTAAAGCACATCAAATCGACCTCCAAAAGATTTATATAAAAATGGTCTTCAAAGGCACCAATTTATTCCTTTTATTGAATTAATTGAGAAAAAATGTCATATAATTTCTCTAGATTCAGAAATTGATTATAGAAAAGTTTTTTTTATTTTTTTTAATTAAAAAGAAATAATAATTTTTTTAGACATCTTCACAAGCAGAAGGAATGTTTTTTGTTGGAAAATCTGTTGAAATTGAAAATAAAATTGAAAATGAATTTAAAATTTTGTGTACAAAAGAAAATGACGGTTTTTATAATTTTTTAAATTAAAAAAATTTCTTTTTAGTTATTGGTTCAAAAACAATAAATATTTTGGGAAGAACTTTATTTATTGAAAAATGTTGTGGACGTATTGCTTATTTACATTTCGATGAACTTTGTGGAAAACCTTTAAGTTCGAACGATTATATGGCTATTGCTAGGGTTTTTCATACAGTTTTTATTAGGTTTTTTAATTTTTTTTAAATTTTTTCCGGTCCCAGAAAATATATTTAGAAAGGGGTTTGGGGGATAATTTTTTGGAAAAAATTATTTTAACAAAAAATTAAAGAATTTATTTTTTATTACTGTAATTGAAATTTTTGGTTTTCCCGATTTTTTGTGGAAGGGAAAACTTAAGACATTTTTGACATTTTTTAAAATAAATTTTTGTAAAATTTTTCTTCGAAATTTTCCTTCGAATTCAGAGTAAACACTACGCATTTTGCCTTTTCAAAATTTTTATTGTGAATTTTGTAGTAGTCTGTGAAAGTATTTATTTTAATATATTTTTTTCTTCCATTATATGATGAAAATTTTGTTATCTCGTTACAAAAATTTTTTTAATTGCAAAGAATTTAATTTTTATACCCAGGCCCGTAGCCAGGGGAGGGAATTCCCCCCCCCCCCCCCCGAAATGGGAAAAAGGAAAAAATTTGGGGAAGGGCTGGGGCAAAAAAAGTGAATTTTTTTGGCTTACGGCCTCTGAAATTTAAAAAATTTTCGCCTGCGGCGCTAAAAAAAGGAAGAAATCTGGCTTCTTGAGGTCCAAAATTCAAAAAATTTTCGCCTGCGGCGCTGAAAATAAAAATTTTTGGCGCCTTCGGCGCCAAAAATTTGGCGCAGAAAAAATTTTCCCCCCTTGGCCCCCCCCCGAAAAAAAATCCTGGCTACGGGCCTGTTTATACCCATAATTTTTTCAAAAATTAAAAAATTAAAAAAATATTTTCAGACAAATTCCAATATTAACCCAAACACGTTTATCAGAAATTCGTCGTTTTATAACAATGATTGATACATTTTATGATCAAAAAGTTTAATTTTAAATTAATTCTTTTTAAAAATATTTTTTTAGGTTAAAGTAATTTGTTCGGCTGAAGTTGATTTAGAAAATTTATTTCAAATTAATAAACAAACAGAATTAAGTGATACTCAAAGAATATTAATGGATGATTTAAAAATTAATGAACAAGAGGTTGTTAAAATTTAAATTGGAAAATTAAAGTTATTTTGGATCGGAAAGGAATATTTTTTATAATTTTTGAATAAATTAACTTAAAGTGAACATTTTTGAGAAAAACATACACAAGAGGAAAAAATAACTTTAAAATAAGAAAAAAATTTCTTCAAAAATCGAAAAAAGTAATGTAGAAAAGAGAATGGAGATACATATGTTTTTTATATGTAGAAAAGAAAACAAAAGGGGGATCTTAATACTTTGGAGGCTTATAACTCGGTCCTAGGTACCATTTAGTGGAAATGATGAAAATTCCACAACCAAAGAAGGGTATGATCTACCTGTCTGCAAAATTTCATGCCGAAGTTCCGCGGACACCCCAGGCACTCTCCTTTTTTAAAGTTTTAGAAAAATATACACAAGAGGAAAAAATATAAACATTAAAATAGGATTTTTAAAAAAATCGAAAAAAATGAAAAGATGCCTCGAAAATATTTGAAAATTATGCCTTTCTTAAAAATCTTTAAAAATGTCCTTTTTAGGAATCTGCACATGCAAATGTATTTGACGGATCCGAAGAAATATTTGCTTATGAAAGGACTGTTTCTCGTTTAATGGAAATGCGTACAGAAATATATTTATCACACAGAAAACCTTCATAAAATTAATTTAAAAAATATAAAATTAGATTTAGTTAGATTTATTGTTTGCTCAATATTTTTAGTTTTCCCTAATTAATTACGCTTTTTTTGTTGTATTTAAATTTTTATATAAAAAATATTAATTTTTAATTGTGCAGTGAAAAATAAAAATTATATTAACCCAAACAAAGATTAAAAAATTTAAAGTAGATTTAAAAAATTTTTTATATTTTAAAGTTTTTTTTTGCAAATTTTATGAATTCTCTATAAAAATAAAATTACAGAAAAATATTATTTACAAATATGTATTACCGTAAAGGCTCTAATATAACCACATGTGCTTCTTTTTCCGATCCTCTCGTAGGGTGTGGTTATATTAGAGAGGTGCTTAAAATGGATAGGGTGGTTCTATTAGAGCTTTTACGGTATTCTTAGTTTGAGTTTTTATAGTATATTTTTTTAAAATTTTTTGTGAAGTAAGGTCATCTTTTAATAACAATAGTATTTTTTAACTGGCACATCCTTTTAAAATATTCCGAATAACGAGAAGCTTTTGGTATGAGTATTTACCATCAAAAATAAATTTATCTCCAAAATTCTTGTAATTGTTTAAAATGTATTTTAGCCTGTTCTTGTGCAAAAATATTTTTTGTAATCCTGTTTTTGCATTTCTTGATATAATTAACAAAGCTAATATAAACAATTAATGTAATAGCAATATGTACAAATAAAAACTAAAAAATTGAAAATTAAAGAAATTATTTTCATTAAAAACCGTATCATCAACATTATAAAATAAAATATATTGGGCAATTGGCATTGAAGATTTATATGCTCGAAGAATAATAGCAAATACAATGTAAAAGGAATAAAATAAAGCATAAGATAAATCGAGAGGAAGAATTAAACGCATAGAAAGTGTATTTTCGTTTAATTGAAAATTTTGGCTTAAACTATATTTTGCTGAATTTTTGCTGAAAAAAAATTTTTTTTGAAAATTTTTAAAAATTATTTTACGTTAAATTCTTTATTTTTCTGTTTAAAATAATAATTCTCCAATCACACATTGTTGTCACAATCATTAATATTAATGTAAAGATTGTCATATAAAACATTGGTAAAGCATTATATTTAGTGGTCATATAGATTGCACCCTGAGGTTGACCAAAATTTTCTGTGTCTGCAAACGCAGCCAGAGAAATGTAGATATAATAAATAATGGATATTAACCACTTAAAATTTATATTTTAATTAGAAATATGTTAAAGTATTATTTGTTTTTTAGTATAATAAAATAAACTCGTTAATTTTGGTTTCCCATCTTAAAATCCTTCGACCTACATATTATTAGTGATCTATTATTTGGTTTTTCATAGGTTCTCAATTAGCAACCGTAGTTTTTCGATTATCAGCGGTTTGGATTTCGGTCCAAGTTTACATATTTAGTTCTCGTTCATTCGAATGTTTTTTTAGATTTTATGTATAGTTTTTTTCAAAAAAAACTTACAACAACCAAACTCATATAAATCCCTAATAATCGCCCTTCTTTTTCATATTTTCCAGCTAATAAAGTAGCTCTAGCACGTTCAATCATAATACAAAAATGGAACGAAGGATATGCAAGGGTATTAATAAAATATGGAGCATGGATTACCAAAACAAGCCAAATTGGGGTTAATAACTCGCAAGAATCGTTGTATGTATATAAAAGAATCTAAAACATTTGTAAATTAATTTTAAAAATATTTATTTCTAAAATCGAGTTTTAAAAAGCGTGGATTATTTATATAAGTTTTGATATTGAAATTATGATTAAATATTAGGATTAAATACAAAACAAGTTTGTTTGTTTAAAGTTAGTTTTGTTTTCTGTCATTCAGAGGGAATTTCACTCCTTTTGTTGTTTTGTGTATTCTAATTAGTGACCGGCGCGGGACGGGAGGGATTTTGCGGGATCCCGTCCCGCAATCCCGCACGGAATCCCGTCCCGCAAAGATTTTTAAAAAATCCCGCATTTGGGATCCCGCAAACGCGATTTTGCTGATGACTAATTCTAATATAATTTTACCTTATACCGAACGTTATAAAAAAGCCAAACAATTGTTTCAATAAAATATAGAGCAATTATATTAGGAAATAATATCTAAATTAAAATAAAATATTTATTAATTATTCTAATTTACCATTAAATTTCCATGTAAATAAAATTTATTATTTTTAAAATAAATAATTAAATAAATAATTAATATTAAAATAAAACTAAGCAAAATAATTTGTATAGGCATTAAAATTGAATATATTTTGTCAGTTAATAATTGTTCAATTTCTACACAATTTGTTGAAAAATTTTGATCAGTTTGTGACATTTTTTTTGAAATAAAATATTTTTTATTAAAATTATTAAAGCTTTGATATATTTATATCTGAATAATAAATTAAATAAATTTTATTAATAATTTATTTTTATAAATATATAAATAGAAATATATGTGAATTAATTTAATTTTCTCAAGGAAATAATTAAAAATTATTGGGAAAATGTCAAAAATAATTTTTTAAGAATAATCTAATTATTCTAAGAAATATTTTTTATTAAATTAAATAAAAAAAGGTGCGTCAAATTCGGCGTGTAGTTTGTTTCTAGATACCGTATTTACATATATCTCGCTTCAATTTAACCCAAAAACTCTCGCTTCAAATTAAATTAAAAACAATTTCTTAAATTGTTATTGAAAAATTTTTCATCTAAAACATTTTTCTATTTTACAATTTAGTTTAGAATTGTAAACACAAGAGTCTTTTCTTTTACAATAATTTTCTGCTGTATCAAACTAAAAATGTTTAATGATTGTCGAATTCGCTTTGAGTTGATTTGTTTTTCGAACAATTGGACAAAATCGGGCTTAGAAAGTGTATTAAGCAAAATGGACTTTAAAAGAGTTACAGTTGTGTAATAGAAATATGCGAAAATTTAAAATAAGGTCAAAAAATTGGACAACCTAGGTAATTAACTGTAGGAAAAATGAAAAATAGCGATTAACGATGTAGGTATATCTAACATTTTATATTAAAGGCAAATTTAATCTTAAAATGTTAAACATGGTTTCAAAGTTACTGTTTCTAGTTAAACAATAAACCAACACGGAAATGAAAAATATAATAAATTTAAAGATTGTGTGCAGTCACGGCAACATAAAAAATCAGAAAGTAAAGAATTTACTAAAGAATGAAAATAATAAATACAAATTCATAATTTTCTTTCATATAAAATACAAATTCTTTCGATTATTCTCTGAAATAAACTTTTTTATATGACGGATATATTAGATAATTAAAATTTATTTTCGTTAATGGCGACTTTGAATTTAAAAAATTTCTGCGTTATGCAATATTTTCTGCTAAAAATAAATGATCATTTTTATCTACTTTCCCACTCTTTACCTTTGACGTATTTTCGAAGTCGTCTGGAAATCCTTTTTAGGAATCTGCACAGGCCAAAATTGTAGTATAAACATCAACACTTCCGTTCTAGAAAAAGAGAAAAAAGACAGGGAAATGAAAACGGATTCAGATTCAGTTTTGAATTTTTATACGGTAGTGGGGGCTGAAACGGAGTGGACTAAAACTAAAAAGCTGACGTAAATACGACGTAAATCTACGACGTACATAAATATCGTCCAAGATATCCTAAACAAAAAAGAATTATAATTTAAAGTGAGTCTCTGAAATTGATTGGAGTCTCTGAATTTTATTGCTTGAAAATTAAAAAAATGTTCGTAACGGCCGGGAATCGAAAATTCATTGGAACGGTAAAATTGTGAGTTATTAGAGACATAAATGAAAGCCCCTCCCATGTATTATTCGTTTAATAAAAATTTATTTGGATTAAATTAGCCGATAATAAATTTATGCAACGCATTTGGATATCAACAAAAACCAGTTTTTGAAAGAAAATGACAAGAATAAATAGTAAAAGATAGCAAAGTTTAACGTAGCAACGGTGGTTCAGTGGTAGAATGCTCGCCTGCCACGCGGGCGGCCCGGGTTCGATTCCCGGCCGTTGCAAATATTTTTTGTTTCTTTTTATTTTTAAATATTAATTGTAATTTATATTTAAATATTAATTTTGTTAAATTTTTTATAAAATAAAATTATTTAAAAAAAATAATATTTCTAACTAGCACATCTTTCTAAAATATGTATATCTCGAACAACAACAAAAACAAAGAAAAGCTTTTGCACGTAAAAGAATATCGAGTAAAAAACATTGGAAACATAAAAGAGAAAATGTTGGATATAAAGGAAGGGTCCTTTTATGGCCCGTGGGGTTCAAGAAAAAAAAAGAGAAAATAAAAGGACACTGGACTAACCCAAAAAAGAGATATTTTGCGAGATATTTTGCTCAACAAATGGGCCAATTCCTTTTTCATTGACGCGTGTTTTTTTCTTCTTCTTCAAGACCATCTTTTCCTTTTCTTCCCCCCGACCACCCGTATTATACTACTTACAATTTTCTTCCTTTTATTTCAACATCTACAACCAAAAAACCAAAATGAGCTAAATTTACTGGTTACTGAAAGAATGATTTTTAACAATTTTGGCAATTTTATTTTTGTTAATAAAAATTATTTTATTTTTTTAAAAAAATTTTTAAAATAAATATTTATTTTTAAAATATTTCCCTTTAATGATATATTGGAAGAAAAAACATATTTAACTAAAAAAATGTTCCCCATCTTTAAGCGTCCTTTCCTCAACAAATTTTTATGGACGTTCCTCCTTAATTTTATTTTATTTTCATTTTAAAAAATAAATTTCTTTCTCTTTTTTGTCATTTCGGCACGTGTGCCCCCCATCAATTTATTTTTACTTCATTATTCTTTCCTTATATTTTTCTTTTTGTAAATGACGCATTCTTATAGCCCTTCCTCCTCCTTACCAACAAAATAAGCTTTTAAATTTTAATTAAAAATAAATATTTTGGAGGGAATTTTTAATTGAAAACAAAAAAATAGTCTTTTAAAGACGAACTTTTATTTAAATTTATTTAAAGTAAATAATTTTAATTTACCGTATTTCCTGAAATAGTACTCCCCCCTAAATTAGCACTCCCCCCTTAAATAGTACTCCCCTTTGGAGGAGGGTTGAAAAATAGTACTCCCCCCTGAATTAGTACTCCCCCTAAAATAGTACTCCCCCCAAAAATATTTTTCCTCTATACATATTTAAAAAAATAATACGAGACATTGAATTATTTTATTTATTCTAAGTATCGTTGTCGGTTTCACTTGATTCTTTGATAAACAAAACCTGAGAGCTTTCGGTTAACCGAAAACGAATCGAAATTTTAAACTAAAATTTTTCGAGGATTAAAGAGATATAATCCGATTAATTGGTGGAGTAAAAGTGGATTTTGGGTATATAAAGGGATTGATATCGGGTGTAAAATGGGTTCTGTATTAATCAAGTGGCATTTAAAAGACATCATTGGATTAAGGTTTGATATAGGAATTTGAGGGAATAATGAAGGGGGAGTAATATTAGGCGATTTTGGTTGATTAAGAGCGATTAAGCGATAAGTTGAATCATAAATCCTTCTTAATCAACTAATATCGGAAGTACAAAAGGGATGTGGAGGATATCGGTGTTTAATATGATAAATAACTAGACAGAGATTAGGTAATCCCTAGACACATGGGTTTAGTTGACCCTGATAAATCTTAGACCCGAAAATCCCCTTATATCCCTCGATATCACTCCAAATTCACTTATATCCTTTTTGATTTCCCTCAATAACCCGTATTTTAAGTCACTTGTGTTTAATTGTCTCGCAATTTGCTCAATTTTATACTAATTCGGATATTTTCTACAACTTTTATTAAAGAAATTTTTTGAAAATCAGGGTCCGGATCCGGCATTTTTCAAATAGCGAACTCTAATCGAATTTATTTTGAGATAAATTGAAATAAATTAAAATATTTTTTTTAATTTTGAAATAAATTTTCCTATGAAAAATCATGGAGGATGGTTGAAAAATAATACTCCCCCCTGAATTAGCACTCCCCCCTTAAATAGTACTCCCCTTTGGAGGAGGGTTGAAAAATAGTACTCCCGGGAGTACTATTTTAGGAAATACGGTATA